CGATGCTATTAAATTTTGGTAATTAAAGGTCGAGTGGGCGAGGAGATAAAGGGGGTCGTGTATATCTCCAGTAAGATCAGACTTAATGACGATTTTACTTATTACCATTTACAATTTTTTTTATAAAACCCATCCCTACCTCAAAATTAAGCTTTATGCTATTTTAAAATAAATATAAAAACATTTTAACATCGCGGAGGCGCCAAATAATGCCTGAAAGCAACTCGTTGTTGCATTTTTTAGAATTTGTTACGTAAGATCTGTGTTTACTGTATATTAAAATACAACGAATAGTCTATCAATGTTCAATGTTACTTAGTTGAATTTCCGGCATTACTAAAATAATGGCGAACAACTCCCGATCAGAACCCTTAATAGCGATGGGCTGTTAATGGTTCGAGTTCACTGATAACATTTGCCAGTTGAAGAATTTATTAAAGATTTTGCATGCAAAAAGTATAGAAAAATGTACATAAAATAAACTGACTGAGCAGAAATAGAGAGTTTTGATACAATCTATTGATCTTATTGTTAAATATTGAGAATCAATATCTTCTTCTGTGCCATATTCTCGATATAAAGTACGTTGCAACTCCATAGTAATCTATAACTGGTGACTGTACAATTCAAGTTGTCATTCCTTTTAGTTTAAATGTAGATATTTCAGCATTCTTTATTTCTTTCTAAACATTCGCACTTGAGATACATTATCACTTATCAATACATTATTTATTTTTTCTTGAAAAAATATTATTTGGGCGCTTGGCGTGTAAAATAATCTGTAAGAATTCCATAACTGTGTATTTGTACACAACAGAAAATTTAGGAAATAACACTAAACCTGTCTATCGTATACTTAATGCAAACAGAACGTTTCATAAAGAAGTGTTTAATGAAAGCTAATTTTTGCATGGTTAAATAATACCGTTTACGAAATACTTAAGTACCAGATATGATGAATTATGTGGCAATATTTTGAGAAATTTGATACTAAAAGTCTTAGTCTAGTCTGTGCAACTGAATGATAAGTTCTGTTGCATTGTGTTCTATTTTCATTCCAATCGATTTCAGGATAGTTCATCCCTCTCTTTCATTTTATCCTTTTATTTTTGATATCCATTTAATTGCACTTTATTGAGAAATGAGTCCTCCAATCTTATTCGTTGAACGTTAAGTAGGTGGGGCATTTTGTCTCGAAGCCCCCAAAAATCTGCTCTTATAAAATCTCTTTAATATAGTCTCTGTATAAAATAATTTTCGTAAACATTATTAGTGGAAACATTCACATTATTTTCATCCATGTAAGGAATGCATCCACGATGCCACTTTATACAAACATTTATGATAATAATTCAATTTTTGTGGGCCCGGGGCTTAAGTCCTATTAGTCCTATGTAAATCCGCCCTTGCCATATGTTTTATGACAGTTTAATTCAGTGGCGGTTTATCCTATGGGCAGAAAAGACAATTGTCTGATGCCCCTTGACGAATCGTTTTATCGAAATTTAAAATATAAACTCTCCACCTCAAATAAGTAGTGTCTTGACCTCTGTACTGTACATCATACTTTTTATGTAGCAATTCAGTCATCTATCTTAACTCCTTTCAGGGGAGAATTTTTGAATTGAAATAACGTGACTTCTGATTTGTATCGGAAGTTCGTATATAGTTAATCGGGGTCTCCTACTCCTACTCTTTCCGTATCTGGTCTCGGATTACATCTATCTAACCCCGTCTCGAGATTAAGGAAGGGCAGACAGAAGAACAGAGGGGATTTATGTCTACAATTTTTTGAATTACAGCCCAATGAAACTAAAATATTATGTGTTCTTACGTTCAGTTACTGTAAATATTAATATTATATACGATACATAACACGGGGATAGTTTTACTGATTACATTGTGAATATGAGGATGTTTTTAAATTATTACGATTATTCTGTATAATTTTGTTAATGTAAAAAGTAACGTCGAGTAGGATTAGCATTTTCAAAGACAAATAGATTTGATCTTCTGCTTGACTGAATTGCTTTTACCGGGGAACAATCCTCTTTGTAATTAACGAAATTAGTTATGACCCCGCGACTGCTTAGGTTCTAACCAATCAGGACGCTCCCCACCTATTGGCTCAGGTCCAGATTGGAGAACCTTCAGATCCACAATCCCTTATGAAGAAGAATCAGAAAGAAAAGTCTGTCTCCTCCATATTAACACAGAAGAAGAAGAAGCAAAAAGAAAGAAAAGTCTGTCTCGACCAAGTAGACCCGTTCGCTAAACACTGGCAGTACGGGCGCGAGTTTGCACCTCGCCAGGACGGATTGACCATTAGAGTTTTTCGGATTTTCTCCACCTAAATATGGATCCGTTTTCTTTAAAAGACTCTCGGAAAGCATTTTGCCAGTTCTTCGCCAGTAATTTCAAGCAAAAAATCTTCGGCCGGTTCTTCAGGAGGATAACGATTTCGCGTAACCTTCGTATTAAACTCCGATACCAAACAAAGAGTCTCGCTTTCATATGGATTTCCCGTCATTCAGCATTTAAACCACTGCTATTCGTATTCTCGTAGGCATCAGTAAATAAGACAAGTTGCAACACGGCAGTCGTAATGGCGTCCTTCACGATGGATGATGATACGTATAACAAAGACCTCGGGATTAACCAGAAATGCACAGGTACTGTATGTATTAGGTAAATTATTAAATTTCAGAATGTTATCATTATTCTTGAGCTTTTTCAGGATTATATTGACATTACAATGTATAAATCGTGAGTTTCTTTCGTATGGATTTCCCGTCATTCAGCATTCAAACCACTATCTTATTTCCAATGTAAAAAAACCACCCTTTCCTCTTTTTTAGGTTACATAAACTGACCTAGATTTTTTATCCAAACTCATTGCATTCTTTATATTTGAAGGTCTTTTTCTTCATAACCAAACATCTCATTGAAATCTTTGTCACGCAAAGTTGTATTGAGATTTTCAAATTTCATCTAGTCCTTGAAACAACTTATTTTCTAAATTATTCCGAATTTAACGAGAATTTCAATTATCAAATGCCAATCTAACTTCGAGGACAATATCCTCCAATAAATCTATTACGAAACAGAAAATAGGTAAAAAAACACAGGTTATAAATTAAGTGTTCCACTTTTTCCTTCCTGGTAACGATAAAATTATTCATTATATTGAAATACCGGTTTGTCTAGCACTCTTTCCAATTGGTAATGTGGCCATTTCGAAATTACTCAAGCATATAGGGAGGGAAATAAATAGGGTACTGTTTTTGAAGTTTAGTAAAATCTTGAAATCCTGTTTATGCCATAACCTATTTAAAATATTTTCCAGGAAAATCCTCTTTGATTTCCCACGTTGTATTCTTATCACCACAAATTTTTAGAAATAACTGAAAGGTTTATACAGGTTGAACCAACAAGAGTTGCATTTACTGTAGAATTGTAACACAAGATTACTCATGCATACAGTTTGATTTCAAGGTGTAATCGCAGTTGAAGAAATCCTTTTATGTCTTGTAATAATTTTAAGCCATAAAAATCTTTATCTTATGCTTGTAGTCTGTAAGTGGTTTGTATTTGTTACAGATTTAATATCTTGATGCAAGTTTAATTATTGATAATCCAGATGAATCTCTCTGAAGTTCTGAAGTTAAAAATTTGATTTAGGAGTGCCCATATGTCATCAAGAATGCCACTCATCTTGGCCTATTAATTAAAAACACACATTTCCTAGTAGCAAAATGCAATCTGTTTAGTATTTTTCTTATTTCCTAGAATATACTTTTATATTTCAATTTTCTTTTATAAAAAACTCGTTTGCCTCCTCTGTTTTTCCTGTTGTATTAAACTAGTTCCTTTTCTTTTTCTTTAAATAAAACCATATTTGTATAGAATTAGATGCTTAAACTGAAAAAATTACTCAAAGAACATAATAATATGTCTTGCTTAACATGTTGTATTTTTAAATTCCATTCATATTTTTCTTAAAAATCCAAAGAGAAAGTATAAAAAAACTTTTTTAAGTGTAATATAAATTATAATTTAATCTACCATATATATGTGCACACTGTAAGATGACACAACACATTCTTTATAGTTTCCTGTATTAACTGAAATTATTACAGAAGCAGGAAGAGAAATTTATCATTAAAAACCAGTTTCTGAACATTACACAATTATTGTTAGAATAAAAATATTCTTATCACTTAAACCTATTTTGAGAAATTTTGAAAGAATTCTTTTATGTATGACCTTCATACCATGAATGAATGATCTATTAAAGCATTTAAGAGCAATTCTATAACAGAATAGTATTAACACTGTACTTTGAAATGAATCATTCTTCTTTAATTTAACATATGCACTTTATATCATCAAAGAATTTCTACTGTTTTTCAAGAAACAATTTTGTAACTTTGCACTCCCTTTCATCACATTCTGCAACTTTGAATAATGAACATTAATCAGTTGAATGTTTATCATCACACAGCATTTTTTTGTGAAAATTCCACTTATATATACTTCCTGTTTGGCTATTGCTTTCTCATCTTTATTGACAGAATGACATCATCAATTAACTATTTCACAGACTGACGTTAAATTGTCATCATTCAAAATAGGTCTGAACAGAAGACGCCTTCAATTATATTTATACAATGACGAATCTAAATCTTAAGGTGACACTTTCGAAGTAATTGTTATTCATAAGAAGTCTTCGGATATTAAAAACTGCTTGAAAATGTAAATACATCCAACAATATGGTGAAGCAATACAACGTTTAATATTGCATCACTTCAGATAAACTTATTAATTTTATATGGAAGGAATAGAACATACATTATGATATTCATGTATGTAGAAAATTAACAGAAGAAGTTACAAAACATCAAACTGCTTTTATTGATGTAAACTACATAAATCAGAAGACTATTATTGAAATAAACTGACATCAAATTTTATATATATACATATATATATGTATATATCATATTATAGACAACAAATAAGAATCATGTATTTGTATGAGATCAAAACAATTTCTCTTGAAATTTCAGTAGATCGCATTTGAATATAAAAAATGCATTTGGGAATGGATATTTAAGTATAAAAGTTATCTAATATAAAAAAGATTTTATTAAAATATGTAACTGCATTCATCTTTGGTCAGGTTTCTCTATACATCATCATTAATGTGTTAGTAACAATTTAGTTATTCTTGTGTAGAGGATGAAATTAAAGTACAATAAAAATCGTAAATTAAAATTAACAGAACAAAATATGCGCAATACATCCAAATAAATATATCAATTATTAAATGAAAAAAATGATTTTTTTATGTAAAATAATACACTATCAAATGAACACATGAAATAAAATGTAATCTATGTACAATATATACAAAATTTCAAGGAAATTCTGTTGTTTCAAATTCTGTAAACGACAGAAAAGCTTAAAACAAGTCGAGCGAGAAAAACGGTATTTTTAAACTTATATAAATAATCTGATAAATAAATAGGAATTTCTTGATGTCAGATATGTTATCCAATATGGAAAGAAATATTGAAATCTCGGACGAGATGATATAAGACGACGTTCTACCGAGCAAATAAAATTCTCGTAAAAAAAGCAAATGGATATTTGCTGTCGAAACATCATCATCTGTAGTTTGGGAACATGGCGCAGTACGTTTTCTGTAATATAAATTAATTCTATGATAAAATCCAGCAAAACTTACAAGTAAGGATACAGTTAGGGAAAAACGGGATACTCACTTTACAGATTTCGCTACAAAACATTCCCGTCGGGCACGTCATGCTAATGGGTTTCCTGCAAGTAATGCAAACAATAGGACTTTGAGATGATTGATGACTCGAAACTTGAGCAGGAGCATTAGGTGGCTAAAATAAATATATGGTATTTATCTAAATGAAAAACAGAAATATCTAGAAGCTGAGTATTTATTTACAGAAAAAAAAATGACTATAATACAAATTAAGAAGGAAGATCGAGTATGAAACATTCTGTATGATATCTGAAGCAACATGAAGGCAAATTGTCTTACTGCAAAGTTTAATTTGAAGTAAACTTTTTTATTAAACAAAAATATAAAAATACTTTAAAGCAGAGAAAAAAAAATTATATATTTTACACACATCCGACAAAGTTAATTGCACTTTGCTGCTTGATTTAATTACTTAATTAAATTAAACCACTTTAGAAAAAAATCATCTCAAAGGATATTAAGAGATGATGATTTAAGAAGAGTTAAGTGAAAATAATGCTCTTATAAAATTCATATTCTGGCTTATAAAGCTGATATTTAAAAAATGGGATTCGATTAGTATTTAAAATTAATATTATCCTTTTCCATGACATTGAGAATTTTTCAAACTACTTTTTATGTATTTAAACAAATTAATTATTAAACAATGGCATAAAATCTATCATCTTTGTAATTACCTTAACATAATTCTATATAATTTGAGCATAAATAGTTAAGTAAATAAGGGAACTTTTCTTAATATTCTATATACAGCAATAACAATAAATTCATTTACTAATTATCATTTCATAATTCTAAATTTTTAAATCCATGCTTAGCTTCATTTATTGCTTTACATAACAATATCACATAAAATATTCATTAATCTGATTTAAAAGAGAGATTTTATTGAATATTTTACCACTTAAAACAAAAAATTTCATATACAATTGTTATCAAAATATGCAATCATCAGTGTTGATAATATATTTAAATGAGCCGATACTCAAGTTTGGTATTATAGAAATAATATTAAAAATTAATCTTTAATAAGAGAACTTTTTATTAAAATATTTTTTCAAAACAAGATTTTACAGTTTAGAATTATGTCTGATTCAAGTTACAGAGGGCTACATTATATGCTACTTGCCTCTTAATAACTTCCTTTTACCAGAGTTTTTAACCTCCGTATTATCTTTGGTTTTTGTCAAATCACAAAAAAAGAAAAAACGTTTAGACGGTTCAAGGACGACCGGTCGAGTCATTGACTCCTTGGTTGACGACTCCTTAAATTCAGACTTATCCTTGAACTGTCAAATTTTTTTGGTTTTGCAATTCGATGACTAAATAACAGGTTGAATCCTAAATTCGGAATCTTAATTAAAGGATTACTTACCTTGATAACAAGTTTTATTTGTAACTATCAAATAAAACTGTCTGTAAATCTTAAGTTCAGTCATTCATTTTTTATAATAGAAGTTGAGATTTCTATTGTATTTTCAAGATATTTAAATAAAATACTGTTCATATTTAATTAATTAAGTAAAACCAATTTATATTTTTGTAGTTTATGATAGCTGTAAATTTAAATTTCTTCCGAATCACAAATTATTGTTCTAAATTATTATCTTTTAAACTCAGTTATTTGTTAATATATTGATAAAAAATATTACATGTAAAAAAAGTATTGTTTTCTTTCATACACCTTTCTTAAGATCTAATCAAATAAAACTTTATAAAGCACTTTGATAGAAAATATGAAGCAATGCTATAGTAGACTAAATCTTGTAAAGCATTTATATATGTGATTTTATTATCGTAATAGAGAAGTTAAAGTTCACAAAACATTCATTATCTACAGAAGAAGCGATCATCAGACCAAGCTATAAAATCAACTCGGAAACATGTCTTCATATGTTATAATTTTCTTTATATAAATTTCTTTGCTTCATGAAGACCCACTTGATGTTTTTTATAATTTCTAATTTCCAGTATATCTTACAAAAAAATGCATGTAAACTTATTTTTGATTCAAAATCATCAGTTGTTCTTTATATCATTACTTTTTATATTTCTTCTTACATATTAACAGTAACTATATATAATTTCTGCATTATTTATTGCAATCGTTAATGCCTTCCATGTCAATAATTAGCATTGTTTTCTTACTCTTTTTCCTTATTTTATTCAGTTAAAGCATTTTGAATTACAGTTTTACTTTATTTCCGATCAGAACTCCTTTTTAAAAATCAATTATAGGAAGATGTTGCAAATGAATGATGATTTATAAATGATCAATATTTGATCCTTTTTAAATTGATAATGCTCTAAAATGATACATTTAAAAAAATTCAAGAATTTCTCAGAGTAAACTCTTCAAAGCAGTATTATCGTCGGCTTGTGCAGAAAAAATACATTGCTTAAGCATCCAAATTGATAGATCAGTTGACAATCTGCATTCTGTCTCTGTCAATATTGATGATGTTACAGTATTTAATATAATGAATGAATATTAAAAAAAAAAACAAAGTATTCTTCATGAACAAATGCACAAGTATTTCATGTTCTGTTCAAACATTGATTTTATAATTCTGCACTAGTAAGATACTGAAATATTCGATAGACTGTTAATGGAAAAACGTTCTTTTGACTTCATATTTTTGCAAAAAGTAGCTTCCTGCCAGTACCACGATGAATACTCTAACCATCGAAATCATCAGGTATTCATTAAAATCTTCAATTATTTGTAATTCCCATACACTTTATGATTAATGTAAAAATTTAATATATTAAGGAGTTTATTTTTATTTAACACTGTATTTTCAGAAATAGGGCTTTGTTATAAACACTTTTATTTTAGTGAACAGCAAATTTAATGCCTTCTTTGTGAGAAATTTCTATTTATGAAAGTTCTAAGATTAAGTATACATGTCAATATTGTTACTTTAATCATATTTCATAAATATATCAGGTATGTTCTTCACATAAAATAAACAATGTTTTCATATATTTTCAACTAATATTCAGACAATTTCATGTAAAAACATATTTATTTATTTAATTTCTAAAATTAAATGACTGCTTAAACAAATAAACTTAGCATTCTACATTTACTCAATTATTAATCCTTATTTTCATTAAAAATTGCATGTTTGTATGTATTTACTAATTAAGCACCTTCTAAATTTATCATTTATTCCAATTGTATCATCATATTTCAGATGACGAAAAAAGTTCAGAATTTATAGCTTATATTAACATAACTTACTTTAAAAACCTACAGTATTTAGTTCTTAAATGAATTAATCAATTGCTAATGACCTGTAAAAAGGAAAACCTGTATATGCAAATGGAGACAAAATTCAAGTAGCAACAAAATAATACTTGTATTAACTAAATCAAAGTACAGTGGTGCCTCGTATAACGTACTTAATCTGTTCCAGGTGCACATCCGTTAAGTGAATCGTCCGTTATACGAAACGCATTTTCCCATAGAAATACATGTTAAAACATATAATTCGTTCTGCAGCATAAAATAACCATACTGTACCATAAAAAAACGAAAATGGAGCAGTCACCAATTATGCCGGGTAGTCAGATGTTGTGAGGAGGAGGTGGAGGAACACTTTCTTCATACATTCATACAGATACAGACTTTTTACACATTGCAGCGGGCCTTTTTTTTTTAATTGTTTTTTAATCGGATTCAAATTCAGGAGAGGCTACCGGAGCTTGCGGGGTCAACTCCTCTTGTTCCATCCTTTGTTTTTTCCCTGCTGGCTTCTTGAAAAACATGTCCAAGCTGGTCTGTTTCTCTCTCTTCTTCAACATCTGTTGCAAATGACAGGCAAGAGTGTCATTGTAGAGATCATTGATCCTGTTGGCCTCAATTCTGTTTGGATAATGAGTGTTGGTAAACTCCTGAACCTCTCCCCATTCGACAAGGAAGTTTTTGTCAACTTTCACTCCTTCTGATGATTTCTTGCATTGTTTCAATTGAAATCACTTTTCTGGTTTGTAAATACCCTGCACTGTGTTGATGTACCTAATAAACAAAGGAGCAAGCCTAATCCCAACGCTCTGTACTTCAGATATACTGATAATATATTCTAATAATACTAATATATTATAAAAATAACATATTGTCATTGGCAACGGCAAAAGAGTGGAAACATCATTTGCACTTGTTCGTAGAAAGTCCATTGGTCGCCTCACATAACTGCCGAATGGAAAGTCCGTTGTCCGCAGCGTCCATTATTCGAGGCGTACTTTATACGAGGCACCACTGTATTTTTAATACTGTTACCATTTGAATGCAATTTTTAGCACAGGTAAGTTAGACAGAAAACTGTTAATTATGAAAAGGAATACCAAGTGTTATTTACCCAGCCAGATACTGTAGCTGTTCCTAGTACAATTTTAATAGGATATATGCTAAAACTGATTGCTGCATAAGGAATGCATGCAAGAGCCCACATAAAATATGAGAAGATTCAAAGAGTAAATACAGAGTAAAATTACTTCAGATCAAATTTGATCATTAATTTTTAATTTTGGATGGTTTATGTAGGTAATTTCATACCAATGTTGGGGTGTTTTCATAGAATGCCTCAGTACTACATGTTCCTATTCTGATGACTGATACTGTTTCGACACTATTGGTTGACTCAGAACAAAGAGTAGAAATTATGATACATCAAACATCATATTTTTATATATGATTCTGCTTGTTTCTATGAGTATCAAGGTGTAAAAAATATTCAAGGAGTGTTCAGAAAGTATTGATCATTACTTATTCCCACAAAATAAGTAATATGCAAGACATGTCTAATGATCAGGATATCTCCTGACCAGCAGACATGCCAGTGACTAATGGTTTCTGTTGGTGAAAAAAAATTCACACATGTGCACGTAGGTCCCCCAAGGAATGCTCATGCACATGTATGAATTTTGAGGGACAAATTTGCTCATGCAGGGTGTCCTTGAAATTTGCTTCGGCAGTACTAATGATGGAATAGAAGCAACTCTGGAAGTCTTTGCAAGACATGCTGTGCAAATGATGACCCCACTTCCTAGACTCGGTGATTACAGGTGATGATGAATCATGAGTTTATAGATATGACCTGGAAACCAAGATGCAGTCATCACAGTGGAGACAATCATCAATCATCATCCAAAGCTAAAAAATTATGGCAGATGCATAGCAACATCAAAGCAAATTTGACTGTCTTCTTTGACTTCTATGATATGGTGCATCACAAATACACACCACAAGACTAAACTGTTACCTGATCATCCAACATTGCCTTCATGATGCTGAGATATAAATGATCAGCCCGTGCAGCAGGAACTTGGAAGTTCCATTATGACAATGCACCTGCTCATGTTTTGCATCCAATTCAGACTTTCTTGTTCAAACACATTTCTCTATTTTCGTCTAAATTTCACCATATTTGCAAGAGATGGAAATGCCCAAAAAGTTTATAGATTGAGTGTTGAACACAAGATTGTGTTATTAATTAAACACTTGGCTTTTTTTCATCTTTATTCAATTGATATGGGTACTTCTACACGTTTCGGACACTTAGTCCCTCATCAGTGAAACAAAAAAAAAGTTTACAGATGTTTCACCCTCCTGGAGAGTTATCATTGATCTCCTTTAAAAATTGCTGTAGGTTTGGTTTTCTCTGCCACAAGATGAAAATATCATCAACATATCTAGTGTATAAGATAATAAGTTATTGGAATTTGGGTAGAATTTTATTTTCTAATTGCCGCACCACAAGCTCACAAAATATTGCTGGGGTGGGACTGCCCATGGGTACTTCTCTTCCTTGTAAGTATACTTTGTTCTCAAATTCAAAGAATGATGTAAAAGATACAAGATGCACCAGCTCCAGTATATGATTGTGATGTTATCATGCATCATCGATGTAGGTAAACAGGAAGACCCATATAGCACAAAAACAAAAAGGTATTTTTATAGATGGATACATTGTCTAAGACAGTCATGTATTCCTTGTCCACCTTGGTATTGTCCTTGGTATTGAGACATTCTATCACCTGCAGCAAGTTGTTAACTGAAAGTGGATGTTAAGTAGCCTTAGCATGGTAGAATTTGACCAGCTGTTCTTCGATCAAAACTGTCGGAGAATTACATTTCTCAATAACCGGACGTATTTGGTTTCCTGGCTTGTGCATGGACTATGGAGCTGTGTAAAAGTCATGCCAAGGGAGCAGAGGTGAATCTTTTAACCCTCTGTTGTAATGTTTCTAAAAAGTTGACGGGTGCTAGCTGGCATTCATGTAGGCTGATCATTTGAGCAACATTACATTACTCCTTTCGATTTAGCCGCTTTCATCAGAACTTTGTTATTTTGTTCCAACCATTGGCACGATTTGTGTATAACATTCCGAAAATGTTGCGTGTCCGAATCATTGCTTTTCTTGTGTGCTGGTCTGGAAATCTTTCTACAAGTAGACCAGGAGAGTGAAATATCTGTAAACTTTTTGGGCATTTCTCTATTTTGTTAGGCTGTCTACTGTCCTGATCTGGCTCCATGTTGATTTTTGGCTGTTCTCTAACCTAAAGGTGCTGCTGAAAATAAACCAATTTGAGTCACAAAAAGACATTACACAGAACACAACTGTGCAGCTGAATTCCATTCCCAAAGTGGCCTTCCTGATGTGCTTCCAACAATAAAGGAACTGCTGGGAAAGTGTATACAAGTCCAAGCAGACTACATTGAAAGAGATTAGGGTTTCTGATCTTCAAGTGGATAATTCTATTCTTTCCAGCTAAATGATTGATACTTTTTGAACACTCCTCATGTATGTGATCATGATGTCTGATGTCTCTTCACATATTTAGGTCCATCTATCTATGATGATGGACCTAATACATGTCATTAGAAAGAAATAATCTCTAAACACATAACTGGATAGTTTCCAATAATTAATTTTGTTTCTAAATAGATCAAATAAGTAAAGATCAAAGAATATATTCAATAATATTGAAAGTATTTTATTAAACAAACAAGTTGAATTTTATAATATTCAAACTTATTAAAATTTTTCTTACAAATTTTGATTTTCATGTTACATTTTATAACATGTGTTAACAAAATAAATGTTTATATAGTAAATTAGCAATAATTTCAAGTTGAAACTAAATACAATTCTACATTTATTAAAACATATTTAAATCAAATGATTATTCAAAACAGTTACCTGATGCCAAGTTCTTATAACTCCTTGAGTATGAATGTTAAACATAGGCACTGAAGCTATATTTCTTCCTGTAGGTACAGGTAGATTTCCTTGAAGAAGAGGTGGTCTTGCAACTAAAGTCCCAAACTGATTTATTATTGGAACTAATGTTGAAGGTCTTATGTTTGGTTGTATAGGTCTCTGCTGATTAGGCACTGAAACTGCACTATGAGCTGAAATGTTATTTCTCCATGCGGGACTTCCTGCATTTCTATCGGTAGTTGTCTGGGTTATTGTGATTCCTTGTTTACCTAATGACTGTGAAGTCCACTGATTCTGAATTCGGGATATATTTCTTACTTCAGTTGTATTAGTCGGGCCCCAATTTGAAGTAGCAGTTTTATCGACCTGTGACTGAGGCGACTGTTTCCGTTCATCTGCTCCTCTCTGTGCAACAGTAGAAGACTGATTAGTGGGTGGTGTAAAATTTCCATTTTCATTAAAACCAAATGAAATTTTCTGATAAACTGGAGTATTATTTACAATATTTACAGTTACTTGATTGTTCTTTGAAAGAACTTTATTAATGGCTTGCGAAGGAGATTTAGTATTCCCACTAGCTTCAACCTGGAGATTATTTGTCTTTGCCAATTCAGATAACGTTATAGCTTGTTTAGGAGTCAAATTTCCTATTCTTTCATCTTTATTGCTTACTGAAACAGGAAAACTTTTACTTTGACTAACTTTGCTCACTGTTATTTGTTCTTTAGGTTGGGAATTATGTATAACCGAAGTCCTCAAATGACTTGTACCTAAACAAATTACATCATCATCCGATTTATTTACAGTCATAGTAATATTTTGTGGATTATGAAAGTTCGGATGAGGACCGTAATTCATTGAGGCTGGAATAATTGGCATAGGATTGTAAGCTGGTGGCATTAATAAACTATTAATAGTATTTTGTATATTAAGTGTCTGTTGAGAAATATCTGAGTGAACACCATTTTTTTTAGTTACATTATTTGAATCAATTTTATCTGATGTAGATTTATTTTGACTAACTTCTTCACTCTTGGAAAAAGCTTCTGAAAGTTTGGAATGATACATATCATTACATAATACTAATAACTGTGACATTTCTTCTGATGACATATCTAACATGTGCGGAGAAAGTTCTTTCTTACACTTTTGTCCTTTAGTCAATAAAATACAAGCTAATTGCAAGCTTCTTATTGTATCAATTTTCCTCATTTTAACTTTGTATAATTCTAAAGAAAACTGTGAAGCCTTTTCCATTAAATGAATTTTATGCAGTTCTTTAAATTCCCTTGCCAGGATTGAAGTCAGAAGTATAACCGAATGCTCTTGACTCTGTTCGAGTTCTAAAATGCTAGCTGTAGCGTAAGCATCTAACTCATTATAAACGTTGTAGTTACTCAAGGAGGGAATGGGCCGTAAAAGTTTATCTTCTTGTAAGCGTTCAATTGGCATGTCTCTTAAACTAAACACATTTTCAATTTTTGGTATGGATTTGTTAACAGATAAATCTTTATTTACTACAGAAGATTCTATTTCACTGTTTTTAGAGTTGGCTGTTTTGGTCATGAGATCTAATGGATCAGTTTGTATTGGATGTGAATTATCACTACACAATTCTGAAGACTTTTCTTGTACATTATCTGTAGGCACATTTGTAGTCTGTACATCAGGAAGAGATTTTTTGTTAAGTGTATCACTTGGACTTGTTAAAAGATCTTCAGCAGTAGCAGCAACAGCACTTACAACAGTAATAGTAGTATTAGTTGCGGAAGCAGATTCGGGTGTAGTTTTTTCATTGTTTTTTACTTCTTTTTCGGAACCAACACTTGATGCATCGTCTGTTTTTTGTTGATTGTCTTTTGTAGCATTTTCAGTTAAAGAAATTTTTAAAGGTGCATCTGATTCATCATTATGAATTTCAGATTTTTCTGGAAAAGCAAAAATATTTGGATCAAGATCATCTTCCTCGGGAAAACTTAAAAGAAACAATCCTCTATTAACATTGATGACTTCACAGGATCCTTTCTTATTCTTTTCTTTTTCAGGATTTTCTTTTGTTTTATCATTTTGTGTTGATTCAAAATTTTCAGTTTGTACAGGATCTTTAAGAGAAATTGTTTCGGAACTTGTTTTACTAATTTTGAGTTTCTTCAGTTTAGATTCGTACTTTTCATTAAAACTGTTCTCCGAATGAACTTTTTCCACAGTTTCATAATCTGTATTATCTTTTGACTTTTTTCTTTTCTTTAACAAGTCTTTATGCTTTCGTTTCCTTAGAATCTTGCACACAAGATTTTCATTTTCCCGATGTTCAGAATTATGTATTATATTATGTACCTTATACATTTTGTGTGCATTAATACTTGAATTTTTCTTTCTCTGTTTTTTAAATTTCAAATCAAAGTTAGTTTTTTCAGTATCTTCAGAGTTTTTAAGGTTTTTCTGATTAATAGACACTATTAATTTTAAAGGAGGAACAGCTGTAGTTTTATCCTGAGCATCTTGTTTATTTATCGATAAATCCATTGGATTATTATGAAAAGTGTTTGTTTTATCAGTAAGATCCTTACTTAAAGAGTGCACAGTCGAACTTTCCTTTGAACTTTTTGGAACTTGTTCATGTTCAGCTTCTTTTATAAATTTCTTATACAATTTAAATTGCGAAAAACATGGTTCAGATACAGTTGAGTGATCCGATTGATCACCCGCTACTGTTTCTTTATCTGAAAAACATTCACCATCACTACAGGATTTTAAATTTGTATTATTTAGTTTTGTATAATCTAACAATGTGCACCGTCTACAAAGACGGTCATTAGAATTTTGAACGGTATATTTTTTCCCACATCTCCAACACGATCTTAATTTTTTATATCCGTAAAGTTTAAGTTTCTTAGTATCAGTGTATAATGGAATGTTTGACTTTCTTTTATTTATTCGTTTCACATTTAGATCAGTACTATCAGATGATGCATAATTTTCCTTTGACTTCACACCAGATTTTGAATCAGCCATATTCTGTAAATTCATTGTTTTATTTGAGGTACTAATACAGGATGCATCATCACTAGATGAATCTCTATGGATTAAAAGTTTGGCCGAACCCATACTCATTCGAGCTTTCTTCTGTTTAAAACTGCATATCGAAGATGAATCGCTTCTAACTGGGCTCTTCTCGTTTTCTGAAGATCTTGTACTTTCATTTTCAGTATTTTCTATAGACAACTTTCTTGTCACGGAAAATGACTTATCCATAGTTTTCAAAATATGACCTACAACATCATATTGATTATTACTACTTTTGTTATCTGATATGTTTTGCAATTGAAGACTTTCAGCTTCATCGTCAATATTTTTTGAATTTAATGCATCTGATTTATTCATAATTTTTAAAGACGTCAATGTATTTTCATTATTTGTATCATTGCTGTTTTGAAAAATAGGAGTTATGGATAAACCTGCTGGAAGTAATTTTGTAATTGGGAGATTTCTTTCCATTTGCTCACTTTGCAAACTTTCCGAAGATGTCGAATGTTTCATATTAGAACTCTGATAACCAATTTTAAATATACTTGTTGATAAACTACTCATTTCTTGTTTCTGGTTTGTTAATTGTAAGCTTTTATCTTCAAAAGTTTCACTTTGTGAATTACTGAAAATTTGGCTAAGATTATTTAGCACAGTTTTCTCTGTCTTATCATCATTCTTACAGGAACTATTAGAAACAGATTCATCCTTTTGTGATTTATAAGAATGTTCAGAATACTGCTCACTTGTATCTGATATTTTTAAATTAAGAGGACTATTGATGTCATTATCTTCACAGTCGGATTTATACGGTTCTGTTAGCTTATCATCTTCTTCAAATGCATACACATCACAACATTCAGAAAGAACAATAGTTTTATATACTTCATTTTTATTTGTGCACTCTTCATTTTCAAGATTGGTGGAATGTTTCGTCCTGTCTGACAATGCTGCATTGTAGCTATTTGTATTTTCGGTTGACTTATACGGACAATCTTCGTCAAATGGAGATGAACTTCTGCTAGCATCTGAACAAGAAGCCTCAGATATTATTTGCCATTCTTCGTTATAGAAGTTATCACTACAGTCTGATGATGGTGGATTTGCTACTGATAGCTTTACGTTTTGAAGAGAGTTTGCATGTGCTTCTGTTTCCATATTAACATTTTCTCCATTATTAGTAGATTCAATTTCATTACTATTATTTATCCCTTCTATTGATGTATTAATACTTGTTTCACTAGGTATAGCATTAGAGTATTTTCCACCAATTGGCAATGGAGGTTCTGGTACCTTTATCTGCCTCAGTATACGAAGTAAATTGCTTTTTTCAGAACTGTTATTCGTCATCGAAGTATTCTTATTTGAAATCTCCCATTCATTTGCTTCAGAATCAAATGGGTTTTCTGCATTGATTTTCTTTTGCTTTTTCTTCCTGTAATGCAATCTTCTACTTTTTCTAAATTTTTCTAGTGTCAAATTACTAAACTTATAGTTATATCCACTTTTCTTCAATTTCTGTAAATAATATTCCACCACCGTTTCAGGCAGCCTTTCCATTACAACCACAGGCTGATCCATTCTGAAAATACACATAAATGTTACAATAAATTTTAAAATTTCCAATACATTAATTGTGTCCTTCAAAATATATTAAATAAAAGAAATTTATTTAGCATTTAAAAATTACATTATATTAAAATATATTTATGTCTTAACTTTAAAATATAATTTAATTATGTACAGTACACTATAATCTATTCATTTCAATCAGAGCTGGCCCAAAAGTTTTTGGCACCCTAAGCAGATTTTTGTCGCCACAGCCAGCATCATACCCGTTGTAGGGTGACACAGTCAACTGATGCTGGCTGCGATACTTTAAACTTTTACACTCCATGTGACTGCCTAGTGGCATATGACTCAAGCCAACCCTGATTGTAATCCAAGATAGTTATCAAAATTAGCAAGACTCAAAAGATATATATTAAAATTTACTTCAATAACCTTTATCTTCAAGAAAATAAGCATTTTTAATCCATTTTTTTCTGCTGCAGACTTACATTTTTGAATTGTTTTAATGTGTGCATTTAATGTTAGTATCAATAAAACCAGAATTTATACTACTTATACTCTCATTTATTTAACTACTTGATGTTAACAATCAATTGATAACACCAGTACAAGAGTCCCAAAATGATCACATTAGCTTAATTAATGTTTTGTATTATGTTATTGAGTTTTATACAAATTTTATTATATTATGTGGCGTATACACTTTTCCTTATACAGTGAAATTTGTTAACTTGGCAAATCCACTATGCCAGCAAACCTGATAAGTCAGCATGCCAAGCTCATTGTGGGTGGAGTTATCAATGCATTAGGGTGGAAACCCTGGGGTTACTGGCATGCCAGTTAAAGATAAAAATTCACATCACCACTCGCAACTGGATAAACATGATTAAAAAGTCACCAAAACCAAATAACCAGCAGAGAAAAGGGGGGATGGAGCTAATGCTTTAGCCCATGTTGAATGGACATCAAGCTAAATGACCCTGTAGCTGTTGAAACAATGGAGAATTGCATATACATGTGAAGAGGGAAGGTAACGTAAGAAAGAGAGAGGTGAGAGGGACAGGATAGTAAGTTTACAATTCATCAAACAATTTCCATACCAGGGGAAGGAATCTACATCATGAAAGTTAATGGCGATATATTTCCCTACAGCCTTATAAATTTTAACTTGCTCTAAATGTCTGAGATGTATAGGCATGTAAATCTATACAGTTTTACATGCAAAGATATCAGAAATTATATCCAGGGGAGTGAAAAAACTGAGAAAATTTCTGCTGTCTGATAAGGTGGCATATTTAATTCCATTAATCCAGTATCTTCGGGTCTGACATGGTGCCACCACATCAGACCCAAAGATACTGGATTAATGGAATTTCACTGTACAATGGTCGTAAAGTAGTGGCAATATACCTAAATGTTACAAATGTGTATATTGTAGGATCAATGTACTTTTACATTCCTTCAATATCAACAACCATCTTTCTGCCAGATACCTCACAGATGTTGAATGCCAGTAACAGAGTTGTTTGCTGATATCCTCAAATTAGTGTCTTACTACATGGATATACCACTCAGATGTAAAAACACTTTCCTGTAAGTGGTTCTTTCCATTGTCTGAATAGATCAAAGTTACAGGTAATCATGTCTAGAGGGTATTGCATATGTTCAAGAACTTGTCATCTAACGTATCCATATATATATCTCTATAATATATAACATGCCACTAAACACATCCCTGGTCCTGTAAGGGCATAGAAGCAGAAGTGTAACATCAAGTACTTTCATGCAAGGCAGATGTGTTCTGAAATACTGCTGTTTCTTCCATACAGCAGTATTTCAAGAAATGCTGATAATTATGCAACACTCACAACTGGATTAACTAAGTACAAATAATGACTATAATTACTGGTGTTATTTTTTTAAACGTTGGTAGTATACATTATTAACAGTCTTGTTCTAAACAACTTCATGATATCACATCTTGTGCTATAATTTTTCAATATCCAAGTATAACTTTCAATTATTTTTGGCTTCTTCTTCCTCTGCAACTAACTGTCTAGCCATCATCAATCCACCTCCATCAGCAACTCAATCAACTGGATATGATGAGATTCGATAACAGAATGACCAAAACATGCCATATCATCCACACTATTACAGCCTTCATGGAATGTTTTTACCTACCATGCCACCATTCAATATGATAATCCATCAGGGCTGCATGCTTCTAGCAATCCTTTGTAACATTCTTTAGCATTCCTTCTGCAATGCACACCAATCTTTACATGCATGTTATTCTCTATTTGAAAACATTAAGGTAGTCTAGTTTGACACAATAAATTCAATATTTTGTACTCATCCATCTTTATGAGCTTCCAAACAGACTAGTGGTTGGCTATCTTTTTTTGCCACTGAACACACAGTCTCTCTTGATCACATCACTGATGTGGCAATTAAAAACTTCCATTGATATATGTACATGCACACACAAATTTTATTATGATTTCATTATTAACAAAAACTGTAGCAATATTCTCAATGTCTAGTTACTTACCACCTAGTCTGTATATTCTGCAAAATACCTAAAATTGTTTTTTTAGTATTGGAATCTTTTATTTTCATTTTTACTAATGGTTACTACAAAAATGTCACTGAATATAAGCTACTATATCATTATGTTTACATTAACACAGCATTGCAGTGCCAAAACAAGCTTGTTTTAGCACTTATAAGGAGCATGCTATCATAATATGAAGCAGAACACATTTCAAAACTGCATAAACAAAGAATTTTCATATATAATAGCATGCTCTTATATGTGATAAAAATAAGAAATTAATCGCTTATAGTTTTTCATTTGAAAATTTCTTTCATATTCCCTATATTTCTGTTATATATCTCTGACTTTCCAGAATTTACAAACTTAAAATAGTAGATTTTAAATAAGATTTCTATTAAATAACGCAAGAGTCAAATAATATCTTGAGTATTTTCAGAGTTATAATTTCATATTTTAAATGAAAATTGTAGAATGTGTTATCTTTCGTGTCTGTCATCATAATGAAGAGCTGAAAATTTTTAAAACAAATTCACTGTAAAATAAGTAATTTTTACTACTTTGTTCTAAGTTTTTAGGATATAACAACTTTGTATTTAAATATTAACATTAGACGTAACTGGGAATTTTAAAGATTAATATTACAATCATAAATTCTACTAATGTACATAAATATATAGTTTAAGAGAAAGCATTAAAATATATTCATATTCTTGTAGTCTTTCAATACCTTTTAATAAAAAAAATTATTTTTATTTCAATAAGTAACTTAAGTACATAGAGGGGATATCATGCCAACAATTTTACTGATTTAAGAGAAAAATTCATATAAAAAGGCATTAAAGAACTTTTATAAAAAAAACGTTTTAATATCCTGCGAATGCTTTCGATATAGCTTCTTACTCTTGTTGTGGACCCTTTGTACATACTGTCAATCTACTTCATCTTCTCCTTTTTCCATGTTTATATTGCGTTGGCATTTCCTTCTTTAATATGTTTTTTCCATTTCTCTCTATCAAAGGCTTTTTCGCTCTTAAGTCCCCTCAGGTTCAAGTCTTCTTCTTGAACCAGAGGGGACTTCTTATGTTGGATCTTCTTATGTTGGAACAATTATGTTGGATCTTCTTTCCAACATAATCGTTCACTCTATGTGGCCAAACCACCTCAACCTACATTCTTACATCTTTTTGCTCAAGAGGCACACCTTAACAGAACCTTTAATAAAATCATTCCTTATTCTATCCTTCCTTGACACTCCACACATCCATCTCAACATTCTCATCTCTGCCACCTCCATCTTTCTATCTTGGGCTCTTGTTATTGCCCATGTCTCAGCTCCATATAACATTACTGGTCTAACAACTGATTTATACATTTTCTTTTCAGATTGTAGCTAACTTTCTTGTCACATAACACACTGCTCAGCTTCCTCCAGTTCATCCATCCACATTGAATTCTATGCTGCACCTCTGAGTTCAATGATGCACCTCCTCTCATCTCGACAAATGTCCCAAAATATTTAAAACTCAGAACAAAAGGAAGTGGCACATTTTGGATTTTAATATTACACTCATCTCTACCATTCAGAGTCATATAAGCTGTTTTAGTTCTGCTAATCTTCATGCCCCTTTCTTCCAAAACTTTCCTCCAATCTTCCAGTTTCTTCTCAGCCTTGGTTTGGGAAAGTTCACACAGCACAATATCATCCACAAACAGCATACTCTACGGAGCCTCACATTTCATGTCACACACCAACATGTCCATTTTCAGGTCAAACAAATAATGGCTAAGGGCTGATCCCTGATGCAAACCGACATTAATGAAGAACCCTTCTGTAGTACCCACACTACTCTTAACTTGGATCTTTGCTCCCTCGTACAGTACATTTCCTTGATGAGCCTAACATATTTTTCTGGAACATTCTTTTCCCTCAAACATCTCCATATCTCTTGCCTTGGTACCCTATCATATGCCTTTTCTAGATCTGTGAACACCACGTGCAAATCTTCCTGCATTTCCCTGTGCCTTTCCATCAGCTGTTTTAGAGCAAATATAGCATTAGTCGTACTCCTTCCCATCAAAAAGCCAAACTGTTCCTCTCCAATCTCAGATTCCTGCCTAATCCTTTTTTTCTACAATTTTCTCTCAAATCTTCATAGTATGGGACAATATCTTTATACCTCTGTAATTTCCGCAATTCTGTACATCCCTTTTACCTTTAAAGATCGGCATAAGAATGTTCTTCCTCCATTCATCTGGGATCTTCTCCTGCTGCTAGTTTCTTCATAAGGTCCCAGAAAATATCAATTCCTTACCCAAATCTCTCCAACCCTCAACCAAAATCTGATCAGTGCCTTCTGCTTTCCCCATCTTCATTTTCCTAAGCATACTTTCCACTTCTATGCTAATATCTTGCACCACTCCTTCATTTGTCTCTCCATTCTTATATAAAG